TCCCTCACTTAGTGGGTGGGGGGGCTTCCTATTTCCACAGGGCAGCCCCCTTTTTGTGTATAATCTCTTAAGCAGGCCCCCTGGGATGGTGGCTAAGTTTTGAAGCTGGGGTTGGCATTATGAACAGATAATTTTGGGGCCCACAGAATCTGCAGCTCCCTAAACAGCTTGGCTCGGGGTGGGGGTGGAATCAGTGGCTAAAGCAGCTCTCTCCTTGCAGAAGCTGCTGATTTGCCTTCCAGGTTCTATATTAGGTCAGCTTACAAATGCTGCCTTTGTGAGACTTTTTTCTTCCATAATTAATTAATTGCAACGTTTCCTTCCTGCCAATGCTAAAATAAATTAGCACCTTTTTCTAACCTAGAAGCATTTTCAGCTACAAAAAAAGTAGAACGTTTTACAGTAAATTGTGCTATTTGGAAGAAGAAAAGCAAAGCGATTGTTCTTTTTCATTTGTAACATTTCTTCTACTTTTTATAATTGGAAAACATGAGGGTGGTTGTAGCATTCTCTTTCTCTCTCCGAGTCAGCATGCCTGAGAGTGGCATTCCTACCCCTGAGCAACGGTTAGTGAAGCTGGTTTCATAGCTACGTCAGAAAGAGGCTTATTCCCTCGGACATTCAGGACATCCAAGCGCCTGGCCAATGGCGTTCCCCTTGGAAGTTTCACGTCTCGTACCCCACACTTCTCCCCCAGAACAAAGTTACATCCACGTGGCCCTCCGACACCCAGCAGGCGGAGCCCCTGAGGGCCTTCGTGTCCTTATTCTCTTGAGGTTCAGGAGAGGGCTTTCGGGACCTCCAACCTCCGATGCCACCGTGGGTCCCTTTGCCCTCCTAGTTCGAACTTCAGAGAACCCAGCCTGGCTTCGGAGGAGCCGTGGCCTCTCCAGGGAAGGCCCCACGAGGCCCCTTTGCAGACCAACCCCAGGCTTCTCAGAAAGAGGGGCGGGGGGTTGCGGTTGGTCATGGCAAATCAGAAGTGGATACTGAAGCTGTCATGGAGTCAAAGGGGAGGAAAGTGTTGGCGCAGCAGTTAACCGTTGATGCTGTAAGAAATGCCAAGCCAGCATGTTGGGATGCTGGGAAAGAATTCCTGGCTGGAGCCCTTTTCGTCCACAGAAGGTGGACCTTTGAATGGTCGAACCTAGCGGTGCTTATTTAACTGAGGTTTTTTCATATAATCACTTAAGTAAAATAAACATATATATATATATATTTTCTGAGGTTCTCGCGGGTATTTGTATGTGGATCTTTGGTTGTTCGGGTTTTCTCCCGCGTAAGATTCTAAGTATCTAGACAACGTTTCGATGAAGTCTCATCCATCATCTTCAGGCTTCTGTCTCACCAACTCAAATCCCCCAGCAACTAAGACTAACCTGAGCACAAC